GTCTGCTAAGATTTGAGATTTGATGGCCGTTCGGGGTTGATACTCGATATCATACCCACTGATTTCGACGGCCCATTTGGCCAGTCGGCCCGAGAGTTTGGGCTTGTGCAAAATGTTGCGAAGGGGATAAGTGGTTACAACACAAATTGGGTGACATTGAAAATACAGTTTTAATTTCCTAGAGGCGCTTATTAGAGCAAGCACTAATTTTTCTAAGTATGGGTACCGGGTCTCCGCTTCACCTAAAGTTCGACTAATGTAGAAAATAGGAAATTATGTACCTTGCTCTTCTTGAACTAGGACACCACTTACCGCGACCTCGGAGACTGCCAAATATAAGTAGAGCTGCTTGTCCACTTTCGGAGTATGAAGCAATGGTGGGCTCGAAAGATACCGCTTTAATTCTTCTAATGCATGTTGGCATTCCAGAATCCAAATGAAATTGTTCTTCTTTTTTAGCACTGAGAAGAACCTGTGACTTCGATCCGAAGACCTCGAGATGAATCGGCCTAAAACGGCTACCCGTCTTGTTAACCTTTGTACGGCCTTAACGTTGTCCACGACTTTGATGTCTTCGATTGCCTTGATTTTATAGGGGTTGATCTCGATTTCTCGATTTGACACCATAAAGTCGATGAACTTGCCTGAACCGACCCCGAATGTGAATTTCTCGGGGTTGAGCTTCATGTTGTATTTTCTCAATATGTCAAAGGTTTCCTGAAAATGTGTCAAATGGTCCTTTGCACGTAGGGAATTAACTAGCATGTCATAAATATGAAACTTCATTGATTTACCTATTTGTTTTTTGAACATTCGATTTACTAGGAGTTGATAAGTAGCACCAGCATTTTTAGCCCAAACGGCATTACATTATAGCAATAAGTACCTTACTTATCAATAAACGAAGTCTTTTCTTGATTCTCCGAGTTCATTTGTATTTGGTTGTACCCGGAGTAGGCATCGAGAAAACTAAGGATCTCGTTGCCGGCCGTGGCATCAATCATGCGATCGATATTCGGCAGAGGAAAGGAGTCCTTAGGGCATGCTTTGTTCAAGTCCTTGTAGTCGATGCACATTCTAAGTTTATTCCCCTTCTTGGGGACTATAAATATGTTTGCTAACCATTTGGGATATTTTACTTCCCGGATATCCTATTTTGGGAAGTTTGGTTACCTCGTCCTTGATGAATTCATGTTTTACCTCATACTAGGGCCTTCTTTTGCTTTACCGTTCTAAACTTTGGATCCAAGCTCAATCGATGAGTGATAATCTCCGGTGGGATCCCTATCATATCAAGTTGGGACCAAGCAAAACAATTCATATTTTTAATAAGGAATTTAATGAGTTTTTCCCTGAGCTCGGGAGTTAACCCGTGCCCAAGTATACCTTTCGATCGAGCAGATGCTCGATCAGTATGACTTGATCCAACTTTTTGACCATTGACTTTGTGGCATTGGAATCATCGGTGATTACGAACGTTCGAGGTGTCATACAATCATCATCCTTGATAATTTCCTGTTGTTCCGATCTGGTGGAAGCCGACGACTATGGTTGCTATTTGACTCCCTGCTTTTCCTTTGATTCTAGTCCTTTTGTTGATGTTAGAGTCGACACTGGTATCACCTCGTCAATTGCAAACATCTATTTGGCTGTTGGTTGTTCGCCGTAAACTATCTTGACTTCTTTCGGTGTTGGGAATTTCAAGACTTGATAAAGCGTTGAAGGTACCGCCCTTATATTATGGATCCAAGGTCTCCCGAGCAATGCGTTGTATCTCATATCACCTTTGATTACATGGAATTTTGTTTCCTGGATAGTTCCGGCCACGTTCACTGGAAACATGATTTCCCCTTTGGTGGTTTCACTTGCCATGTTGAAATCTTTGAGCACTCGAGCTGCAGGCACGATTTGATCTCGAAGGCCGAGCTTCTCCACGACCCTTGATCGAATGATATTTGCCGAGCTACCTGGATCAACCAACACATGTTTAACTTGAATTTTATTCATAAGTATATATATTACCAGTGCATTGTTGTGAGGCTGTTCGATCCCTCCTACAACCTCATCGTTGAAAGATAGGGTATCCTCTGGTAAGTAGTCCCGGATACGTTTCTCCCTTGTGATTGTAACTTTGGTGCATTTAAATGTTGTGCCCTGAGAAAATCGACCCCACCAACGATCATATGAATCACGTGTTGCAGTTCCTCCTACTCGTTTTTCCTGTTTGCATCCCTGTCTCTGAAGTGATTTTTTGCTCGGTCACTCAAGAATTCTCGAAGATGACCTTCGTTGAATAAATGAGCTACCTCCCCCCTTAATTGTCTATAGTCTTCGGTTCTGTGACCATGAGTTCCATAATACTTGCACATTTGATTTGGATTCCTTTGTGCTGGATCGATCTGCAGGGGTCTGGGCCACCTAGTATCCTTGATTCGTCTAATGACTGACACAATACCTGAAGCATCGATGCTAAATTTGTATTCCGATAATCCAAATCAAATGTGCAAGTACCATGGAACCCATGGCTGACACAATACCTAGTATCCTTGATTTGTCTAGGCCCCCTAGTATCCTTGATTCATCCAATGGCTGACACAATACCTGAAGCATCGACGCTGAAGTTGTATTCCGATAATCGTGGCGCTTCTTTAGGCTCGACTTGTTTATCGAAGCCACCCTTACTCATTAGCCCTCAAGAATTTTGACCTCGATCATTTCGAACGGGATTACGTCTCGGTCCGTTTTTTCTACGATCTGCGTTATAAGGTTGGTACCGATATCTGTTTGATCAGGGCTCTCTGTCGATGTCTCTTTTAATCCTGCCTTCGGATCTATTTGGGTAAACAAAACCAGACGGGGCTCCCAACTGATCATCCTTGACTCTAATTTTTGACTAGTATCAATTATGCACATCGGCCAGGTCACCACTGGATATTCAATCAAATTCTGCTTTAGTTGACGTGATGCTACCGAACTTTGCTTGTTCAAATCCTAAGTAAAGGCTTGGATAGCCCAATCATCGGTAATCGGGGGTAGGTCCATGCGCTCCATCTGAAATCAAGATACAAATTCTCTCAGTATTTCATTGTCCTTTTGTCTCACTTTGAAGAGGTCTGACTTCCTAGTCGCAACCTTTATTGCTTCGGCATGTGCCTTTACGAACGAATCGACAAGCATGGCGAAAGAATCGATGGAATTGGGTGGCAAATTGTGGTACCATATCATTGCCCCATTCGATAAAGTTTCTCCAAATTTTTTCAATAGAACAGATTCAATTTCATCGTCTTCTAAGTCATTTCCTTTTATTGCGCATGTATAAGAAGTGACATACTCGTTAGGATCAATGGTTCCATTGTACTTGTGAATTTCTGGCATGCAAAATTTCTTCGGAATGGGCTTCGGTGCCGCACTTGGTGGGAAAGGCTTCTGTATGAACTTTTTCGAATCCAAACCCTTCAGAATCGGGGGTGGCCCCAGCATTTGATCAATCCGGGAGTTGTACGTTTCTACCTTTTTATCATTAGCCTCAATTTTCTTTTCTTCTGATTCAACCCGTTTAATGAGCTTCTCGAACATCTTCATGATGGCGGGGTCGGTTCTCGATCCATTATTGTTTAATTTCTTCTGTACAGGTTCGACCCTATGAACAACTTCCTGTGATGCATCGAGTTCGATTCTGCTTGGTGCTCGATTCTGATTTTGTAGTTGCGCTATCACAACCTATTGAGTTTGTAACATGTCGAATATCATTCGAAGGCTAATCCCACATTCTTCACCATTTTGTGCATTCTGATCGGCTGCCCAGGCGTCTCTACGTACGCTATTTTCAGGGTCGACGCCTAAATCTCCACGAATGGCGACTCGAGAACTAACATCGACTAGATCTACGACCTATGGTACATTAGGATTGATTGGAGGTACTCCGTTTCCCGAGACGTCCACGTGCTCATTCTCGCCATAAAGACCAAGGCCGGTGTCTGTGTGAGTGAGTACTGCTTGAGAGTTTGACATGTTGATTCCTGAAATCAAAAACACTTACGAGAACAAGTGTAAAAGCAGTGTGTGTTATGAAAGTTAATATTAAGCAATCACTATCCTTAGCCCCACAGTGGGCGCCAAACTGTTTACCCTAAAAATTGAGTAACAATTAAACTTGTAATGTGGTTCTAAAGATACGTGATTTTACTTAATATCAATTGAGAAACGTGAAGATAAACAATAGAAATTGACAATAATGTAAATCAAACTAGTGTTTGGACAGAGCCCTCGAGTTGGAATACCCTCGAGCTAGTAAAGCAAGAACAATTAAAAAGCAGTGAACCAGTGAACAAGGGAACGTAAATTAAAGAGAGAATATTCTATTGCTTTTGTCTGCGTGAATGTCAGGTGCCTACAAATGATTGGGACTCACCTTTATATACTAGAGGAATCCTAATTATGGTACAATTCTATTATGGAAGTAAATCCCATGATTGGTACAAATAACCGCCCTTGATTTGATCCGTTCTAGGATTTTCGCCGTGATCTCCGATCGGTTACGGACATCTCGCCTTTCCGTTATCGCACTTCACTCAAAGTCGGTCAAACTTAGTCTCGATCGCTACTGGCCTCGATCTTGGCGGGTACCTCGATTCTTAAACTTGACACCTCATCTTCGTAATCTGGCCCGATCCATTACGAGACCGACCCCCGACGCGATCCCTTGGTCTCGATTAAATAGCAAAATCGGGCAAGCCGGATTTTAACCGTGCACAATTAAATTTAATAATACAGTAGAATAAAATTTAAGTAATAATTAAAATAAATATTATATTTTAAGTAATATTATGATGAATAAATATGCTTGGTTTTATAACATATGCAAATGCAAAAACAGACAAAAATTGAATATCGAAAAAGCATGGGAAAAAGGCATGAGACAGGCCGAGCAATTTTGGCGTGAATATGGCACTCTTAACCCAAACGGGCGTTCCAAGCCCAACTATAAAAAAAAGAAAATCAAAGTCCAGTCCTCCCTCGTCAACAGTTCACATTTATCCCAAGTCCTAAGAGAGTAATAATGGCGACTTCCGCTTTCGGACAGTGCAATCTTCTACCTCGTACAACTACTGTAAATCCCACACAACTGCACTCTCCTCGTTACTCTTTGTCTTTGCCTTTCCACAGACAAAGCTTAACCTCTTCACCTGCACTATCATTCACCCAATCTCAAGGTCAAACACATTTCTTTAATCTATTTTTATTTTTAAAATTAATTTAATGTTCTTTGGTTTTTATTTAAGATTCTTTGAATTTAATTAGGTTTAGGGTCTGCAATTGAGAGACATTGCGACCGGTCGGATCTGTTTCAAACATGCGCTGTTCGTCAGTTGACTGGTTCCGTTACCTCGACCAAAGGCCATCGCTTTGCTGTTGTCAGTGTTTCTCCTGTTTTACCCTTTCCTCTGCATTTCATTTTATGTGGCAAATTGTTTGGCTAGACGCTTAATTTAAGCTATGACTGGCCTTAAATTATACTCCCTCCTTCCCGATTTATCTGGCAAGTAGTTTAAGAATAAAAAAAAGACTTGGAAATTTGTGATTTAAAACAAGTGAGAGAAATTTTTGTGGCTATAAGTCATGAGAATACGTATCATTCTTTTTGGGATTGAAGGAGTATAAACTAATAGTGTAAACAGTAAAACAAATTACTCCATCTGTCCTATTTTAGGTGGAAGTCTTTCTTTTTTAGTATGTCTAAACAGATTGATACCTTTTGTTTAGGTTACTTAATCTTTAACATCTCGAATTTGCCATCCGGTCTTATGACATGACTTGAAGGGGAGCCTTGTCACAACTGGTAAAGTTGTTGCCATATGACCAGGAGGTCATGGATTCGAGCCGTGGAAACAAGTCTTGCAGAAATGCAAGGTAAGGCTGCATACAATAGACCCTTGTGGTTCAGCCTTTCCCTGGACCCCGCGCATAGCGGGATTAATGCACCGGGTTGCCCTTTTTTTATCTTATGACATGACTTGTTTGAACCTCACTTAATATAAAAGCTAGTTTTCTTAAAACAGGAGAGAAAGGTGAAGGGACGTGTGATAGTCCTCTCTCTTCTATAATTATTAGCAGTAAGGAAAGTTTTGGTAACTATATATATATATGGTCTTTTGTTGTTTCTTAAACTTTGTGTCTGGTCAAATATTGTCACATAAAATGGGACGGAGGAAATGAAACATAAAATTAACTTAGTATTTGCTGATCTTCATGCTATGTTAATCATTAAGGGCAAATTGAAATGTTCAAGAGAAAAAAAGAGTAGTCAAAATTAGAAGTATGTCAATCATATTGGATTAAAAAAGGAAAAAGTGCCATGCAAAATGGAAAAGCGGGAATAGTAGTTTAAAGTAATGATCTTTCAATTGCAAGAATTAACGGTTTCATTTGAAGAAATAGTGAAAGTCACACAATTTGGGTTTGGTTTATAATTTCGTTATGATTTTGGCTTTACTTGAAGTCTTGAAGTCATGTAGCAGTTGTCGTTTTCATCAGCAATTTCCGTTATTGTGCGTTATCGGAAATGACTGGTCATCCGTTGGTTTTAAAGGTGGTTGCACGTTTCAATGATCTTATCACCAAGAAGCTTTTGGAGGGAGCTTTGGACACTTTCAAGAATTACTCAGTTAGAGATGAAGATATTGATGTACGTTTTCGACATCTAATCCTCCCCTCCCCCAAACTGCTTTTATTCCTTAAATTCTTTTGTCAACTGCTACTTATCAAAATGAAAACAACCTTAGTTATTCCAAATATGAAATGCACTGGCTCCTAATTATAAAAATTTTAACATAGATTTGAATAGTAATATGGTGGAAACTTGGCTGATAATTTATGCACTTCTACTGTGCTTGGTAACACTGGGTTTAAAATATTCAATGGTTATGCGGCTAGCTCCCCACCTGTGGGATTATACTGGGTATGTTGTTGTTGTAGTAGTTATGCGGCAGCAGACTAGACGTCCAACTTAACGTATTATGTCTATTTACAAAATAAGTTTTGTTGTTTTACAAGAATGTGGTATTTATTGTCCAAATAATTTCATCCTTGTGTGGAGTCGATGAAGACTAACTGTACTCCCATTCTCCTCTTTCTCTCAATATATTTCCATATCTGACTGCTGTGTCATCGCTCTACAGAAGCATTCCCTAGTGTTTTTTTCTTCAAGTATTGGCTTGATGAGTAGAGCTGATGGATATGACAAGCAGGCTGCCCTTCTATGTTTCAGTGAGGCACTTTTAAATAGTTTAGATATAAATCCATCAATTAGAAAGAATTTTTTCTTTTCTTTTTGGATCTATTTTCACTAAATGATTTAAGACACGTGCCAATGAGGTGGATGCAGATCCCCTTCAATTTGAATATACAGGGAGACGAAAATATTATCAGTGATTGGCTCACGTTCGAGATAAATGAGATGATCACAATCAGAAGTAGGTTAAATCCAAAAGAATGGGAATGAAAATTAATGGTCACATGATTATGCCGCTCAGGTGGGTGCATTTATATAAGCACCGCTTTAGTTAAAATAAATGAAGAAGTAAAGCAAGACAATTTTGCATGGCTCCAAGGACTTGCTGTAATATCCACAAAGGGTCCGCTTGGCATGATAAATTTGAAAGAGAGATTGATTGCTTCATAAACCCCTCTATTGGCATGCTATACTAGAGCATAACGATTTACTTTGGATTAATGGAACTTTTATGTTTTGGAAGATGTTGTATCAGAAGATCGAAAACAGAATAAGGCATGGTGAAAAGTTGTCTCTTCCATTTCATGGCATCATCTAGTTTTGACCTCATAATGCAGGTCGTGTGGGTTCCTGGCTGTTTTGAAATCGGCGTGGTTGCGCAACAGCTTGGAAAGTCACAGAAATATCAAGCAATACTCTGTATTGGGGCTGTGGTAAGGTCGCTTCAGAAGTTCAGGCTACCTTTTTTTTCCTCCTATGTTACTTGCTTACTCCGACTCTGTTTCATTTGATGATCTTTTTGTAGATTGTTTATGGAAATATGGATGATTAAAGTTAGATGTTTTAGTTATCCTTTCGGTTTATTATCCTTTGGCTGTGTGTTATGTGTTCATCGATATTTCTTTGGTTCGCATCATTGTATAATAGCCCGTTTGGCCAAGCTGCAAAAATCAGCTTATTTTGAGAAGTACTTTTTTTCAAAAGTGCTTTTCTCAAAAGTACTTTTGGTGAGAAGCAGTTTGTGTTTGGCTAATTAGTTTGAAAAGCACTTCTGAGCAGCAATAGGTGTTTGGCCAAGCTTTAAAAAAGTGTTCTAAGTGTATTTTTCTCAAAAGTGCTTCTCAAAAAAGTGCTTTTGGAGAGAAGCTACTTTTTTCTGCTTCTCCAAAACTGCTTCTGCTTCTCCTCAAAAGCACTTTTTTTCATTCCAAAAGCTTGGCCAAACACCTCAATTTTTGGCCAAAAGTGCTTTTGGCCAAAAAAAAGCACTTTTGGCCAAAAAGAAGCTTGGCCAAACAAGCTATAAGTGAGCTGATCTTTAGAGTTCCAAAAGGGGAAGCAGCTTAGAGTTTGATGAGAATAAGGTTAGCAGAGAGATTGACAAGGCTCTTTTGACAAATCAGCGAAATTATTAGATGCAGAAAGCTATTGAGCTTTAGATTCCGGACTGAAGATATGTACTTGAAATCATTAAATGGGGCAATATTTTTAACCATTTTCGTAGATGTGAGGGAGGGAATCTTAGGATTTAGGTCAGTGTCTTCTATTTTTTTTTGTTGGACTTGTAATCTTTCTGGTCAAAAGCTTAGATGTTTTAATTGGAAATAGTTGGGGAGGCATCTGTGAATTCAGTGCCTTATGCTGAAGTAACCTCATCCGAACATACTCATAAGCGTCCAGCATAGGAAAAAGTAATATAAAGCTAAGACTCTGAGCATTTCAAACCCGAAAGAAAGAAAAAATCCATCAGACAGACATTAGATTGAAGCGCCTTCTGTTTCACTACTTATTTCTGTAAATCAAATGGGCATCTTTCTGCTTTTTTCGTTTGTCCGAATCATCATCTTGTATTTCCTTTTTTCTTGCTTGCAATGTGAATCGTTGTCTTTAATTTTTCTTTTGTGTTATGTGGCTAGTAGATCAGAGGTGATACGTCTCACTATGATGCTGTCGTTAATGCTGCCACATCCGGAGTACTTTCAGCAGGCCTAAATTCTGGTGAGATAACGTGCTCCATTGTAGTCCACGTGAGCAATAATCATTATGCTAATGTTTAATGTTTTTGCAACTCTTCCAAAGTACTATTGATAATAAGATTTTGGAACATAGTTTGAGCTTCCAATGTAATATCTGGAATTAAATATGATGGTTGAATTAGAGGAGTGTCACAGGAGTATTGTCCGAGAAAGTGAAAGGCAAGCTCTATAGAACGGTTGTGAGATTAACAATGTTATATGGGATTGTTGGGCTTCTAATGTCCAACATATCCACAAGATTAATGTGTTAATGTGGATGTTCAGACATACAAGATTGATAAGATTAGAAAAGATAACCGACAAAGGTGTAAGTACACATGAAAGTACGCTGTCTTTGGTCCTCAAAGGGATGACTGAGTAGTTGAGGCATAGTTGAACAGCTTGAAAATCCTATGTTTGAATCCTAGTTAAAAACTATGTGTGAGTTCATTTGCTCTACTCTTGGTGTCACATTTGCTCGATAGTTGTGCTTCTGAGCAGTATAATAGGCTGCCAGATGAATTAATCGAGGTGCAAGGTGGTTTGGATACCTCCATTATTTAAAAAAAAAAGGTACAAAAATTGGTTGACATAAACCTCCATATATACTGGTTCATAGATGTGACAGTATAATGATAAAGGTGATAAACCTGAAATTACATGGAGTAAAGATAGAATTGGTTCTTGGTTAAGAATTATATATGATGGAGCCTTATGGAAAAAGTAGTATATATACTGGAGCAAAATCTACATCTTCCGTCAATTTTCCCAATAACTTTAGTTCTTTAGAATTTATATACCCTTCAACTATTGCAATTATATGCTATTTTCAGTTCATTTTTTCGTTTGGCTGATCAAATAAAATCTCCCTTATGTTATGAGTTGCAGGTACTCCTTGCATATTTGGTGTTTTGACATGTGATACCTTGGAGCAGGTAAGCAATCGTTGTTATACACAAGCATACTAATATGGTGTATTGGTCAGACACTTGAAGTGTCGTTATTTTAGTTGGATTCATCTTTCTGTTATCTCTTATCAAATAGCAGCCTGGAAATGAGGTTTTCTATGAATTGTATGCTTCCAAAGTAAGTTCTAACTATTTTTAGAGGTCAATTATCATAATTGTCCTAAATAATTCATTTCTAACATATTTATGTAACTCCGATTAAAACTCTGTATTATGTTATGCTATTTTTTTCGTGATAACTGTAGTAACGAAAGAAAAGGCAAAAACAAAGCAAAAGGGAACCCTGTGTTCATTGTCCAAGTGCCACCTTAGAATATGGCATCAGACTTAGTTCTGGCAGCGAGATTGTTTTTTCTTTAACAGGCCAACTGCAGTTCCTAACACTGCAGGAGAACTTCTAGAAAAGAAATTGGAAAAACTATTCAATAAGGTGTTCTAGCTTCTTCGTCCATTGTATAAACTGTGGTTGGAGCAAGGAATTCACCAACAGGCAACAGTATGATCTAGCTGAGAGGTTATAGCTTGTAGCCTTGTACAGCGAGATAAAGGAGTTCGAATTTGGAGAGCTCATTGTTGTTCCCTTTACTTTATTAGAGATAACGTACAACTACCAATATTGGATGTGCTGCTTTAATAGCTTTACTATACTTTAGTTTTGGTCCCAAACACTTGTTTACACAATTTTCTACCTTCACTTGTACAAAGAAATACTAGTATAAGCCTAAAGGTTCTTTTGCTTTACTTCATTTTTGGTGTTCTTTGCTATTCTGAGTACCTTGCTAGTGTGCTTGTTTCAGCCATAATTTATTCTTGTCTATCAAATATGCTAGGAAAAAATAAAAGCTCTTCAAAGTAGGATAAATCCAAAGTCATGCTGCTATATTCAACATTTTTTTATGTCATAGTTAGATTTGATAGTGGCTGTTCATTTTTAAGGATTTGTATTAACATATACTCCATGTAGTATACTCTCCATGGAACTATATTTACAATATTCTTCTTGGTTGTGTGAATCATCTTTCTCATGTTGTGTCATGTATTCTGAGAAACCCCGTAATTAAATGCAGGCTTTCAATCGCGTCGGTGGGAAGGCTGGGAATAAAGGTGCCGAAACAGCGTTGACAGCTGTAAGTTGCCTGTGATTGTGTGATGGTTATATTTTATCTTCAAAACTAGTTCAGCCGTGTCTGATTCTGCTCAAATTTTCCTGCCTTATTATGTGACAAAAGGTTCTAGACTAATAAAATTTATGCAAAAGGGAACTTATTGTCATTAATTATTGAAATTTAAACATCACTTGTGATAATTTCGAATTTAAAGAAAGAACAGTCTTCGAATGTAAGACATTCTAAAAGTTTGGTCCAAAGGTCAAGAATCTTATATGTTCCAACTATGTTGCTTGGATCCTTCAAAAGTGTGGCTGCATCGGTGTTGGATCCGACTGGTTCGGCTGGCATTCTTGGAGGATCCAAGCAAACATAGTGTTTTGAAAAATTTAAATGTAAGTCACCATATTAAGAAATTTTATGGGGGATTTTGATATTTAAGGTGACCGTTAGAGGGAGGAAATTCATTTATCAGATGGATTCAATNTAAGGTGGGTAAAGAAAGTGAAGAAAATAGAGTTAAAATTGTGGTTGACATTCAAAACTGTTTGTTTCATCTAGGAGTCTATGTTCTATTTGCACTTAATGACTGATATTGGATACTTATGTTGTGCGCTTTATGTTCCAGATTGAGATGGCGTCTTTGTTTGAACACCACCTAAAGGCTTAAGAGGTGGAGGCGGCCCTTCTTACGAGCTCACTGTTTTACCGCAAGAATGTTGTTGTGATTCTTACCTTTAAAAAGAAACTTGTTCCCGTCACCATCTGAAGTAGCTGCTCAGACTAATAAGGTCAGACATCTGGTTTGATTGAACCAAGCTATTTTGCAGAAAAATAAAGAAAAAGAAGATCCCCCCTGTACTTCTCGGCTTCCTTCCTCGCCTACTCATTGCCGCTAGCTGTAATCCCTCTAAAAGTTTGTGGAGGAAACAATCTTGGACAAAGCTGCACTTGTTTGAAATTTTGTGTTTTTGAACAATAGTATCATTTCTTTGTGCTGAATTTATAGACGTCAAATTGGTTCAATGTGAATTGGAACTTCCGAATTGATTTGATCTCTCCTACACAGAAATAGGAGAAAAAAAGGTAACAAAATGGGACAGTGGACATGGTTTTCCGTTTTGTTATTTTATTAAAATTTCGAAATCTTTTTATGGTATGCTACCATACTGTTGTATGTTGATTATGACGATCTTCCTATAGTGAATAGTAAAACTTAATTAGTTTAGGTTGGCACATAAAAGATTTTCTAAATGAAGACAGTAAAATCAGCTCATCCTCTGAATGAAGTAGAAACAAAGTGCATTGAAATAAGAAATTTGACATTTTTCTCGTAGAAGTTAACTCACCCTTTGATTCACTTCTCCGCTGTTGGTTTATTCGTATGACTGACTGCTGCTCCTGTAAATGCCAATCCTTAAGAGGGAACGAACGGTTCAAAATTGAAAATTTGCATATCGGATAAGTATTATTTATGACAATTAGTTTTCTTTGCAATCACGAACCAAGTTACTCATAATCAAAATATATATATATATACCCATTGCATTTGGAAACTTGAGGTGTAAATTATAATTTGCCTGGTCCTAATCATTGTGCCCGTTAATGATAGTAAATAAACTGAAATGATGGAAAAAGAAAGATGCAAAATCTTCGGCAACAAAAGGCTACATAGCAATTTCAATGATAAACTTTAGATCACCCAATAAATTGTAACTACTGTCTCTAAACCGCTGAATACATGAATGTATACTATAATTCCTTTTTTTTCTTTTTTTCTTCTGTTGGTGTATACTAGCAAAAATTCGATAAGACAGTATGATAGTCCATAAATTCAGATGTATAAGGTGTGACAAAAACTCTGCAGGCAACTCCACAAAGGGATGACACAAGACAATTGTCCCAAGCCGACCAGCTTCCCTCTAGACATGGTATATCATGCCAACTTCAATAAGACTAATGTGAGGAATGTTAAGTGCCACAGCAGTACCCCTGCAGTTCTTGCGCAGAAATGTGTATCCAACGTCAACAGCAAGTTTCTTCCAGAAAGAGGACGATCTCCTTGCCTTCACGTACGAGTGCCCCATTATATATGCAACCCCTGCCTCCTTTGCTTGAACCAAATCTAGAAGCTCGTCCCTAACTTCAGGATCTATGCCAGGGTTCTCTGGCAAGTTAAACCTGACTCGTCGTCTCCTGACTTCTGGGTTCTCATCTTCATAGGAAGATCTTAGACTCTGAAGTGTCTGCGACTTGCTGCTTTGAATGGAGCTACACGTAACAAAATCCTCGTCTGAGATGATTAATGGTGAGCTCGAATGTAGAATTCTCATGCTTATAACTGCCATCCTCCCATCAAGAGATGGACTCTCGGAGCTCGACAATTGTGGTTCCACAGCTTCCATTTGGATAAACTCGGCTAGACTTTGGATGAGAAGGTCCTCAAAGTTCCCATCATCTTGTTGTGCGTCCTTGTAACCATATCGAACAATGCAACGATACATGCGATATGGTCTTGGACCAACGCGACCAATGAGGAAGCGTTCATCAGATGAGACATGGGGTACAGGAACAGATTTGACACACACAAACACCAGCACATTGTGAAATGCAGGGAGATTTGTTACAAAGTGAGAGAAGATAGGTGGAACTCCTGTTACCAATTCAGAGTATATTAGCCCTATCCCAGGGACACGGACAATACCAAGGCTGGGACCCAAGCCAAGGAGCCATTTCAATGGAACTTTGTTGTGCAGGTCATACTTGTACTTCTTCCGAGTTCCATAGTGCCAGACAAGCATGATAGCTAAGAGGACAAGAGAGAACAAAAGAGAGACCCATCCTCCCTGTGGAGCCTTAATGACTGCAGAAGACAGGTAGAAACCTTCAATGAACCAGAAGAACAGGAGAAAGGAAGTGGCAAGTACTATGTTTCTTTGCCAGACAAAGATTATAACAAGTGTCATGAGGAATGTCGTGATAAACATCACTGTCATGCAAGCTAGCCCTGAAAGGAGGAAAAAAAAGTTATAAGAAAATCCAAATTAAGAGTTATAGAAAGGCTTGAATTTAGAAAAAATAATTTAACTATTGAAGGCAAGCTGGACTTCTTTTAATCTGCAGTAATGTTGATGGAAAATCCCCCGTACTTTCCACAAGGGGATACCCTCTGTACTGTGTCTGAGGAAAATAGATTTTTCTTCTCCACGTCATCCAATTAGAGATTCCTCCTTGTTCACCATTTATTGTTTCAGTTTCATCGTTCTTTTCTCTTTGCAAGAAAAATTCTTCCCTGGATGTATGTAAATCCTCCAGCATAAGGTTTAAAGAAACACGGGTAGGCACTAGAGAAAAGGAGCAAAATTTGGAAGAACAGAATTATGTAAACCAATCTGGTTCTATAGAGAAAAATTGGTAGAGAGAGTTGCTTGATAATTTCAGATCCAGCACAATGACAGGCTGAAACGATGAATTGTCCATGGTATTCTTTTTAACACAGGATTCCAAGAACACTACTTTAAAGGTTAAAGAAGGACATGAAAGATTCAGCTGCTTTAGTAGGCAAATAGTTGGGGAGAAGACATTAAGGAGATTGTAGCTCTATCTTCTATCTGAATGAAATGTTTTTCTTCTAGGAAAAAAAAAACTAAAAGTCTCATATAGGGATATTTAGAGCAAATAAGACATCTTTAGCACACAAGAAGGTTTACCATATGCATTTCCAATTAAAGTTGTATCTTGGAACCCAATAGCCACAACAAGAGTAAGAATCATCAGGATCCAATTTATTTCTGGTACATAGATCTGCCCTTTATGCTTTGAGGTATGGACAATCTTGACCCGTGGGAAGCAACCTAGTGCATTACATTGCTTGACAATTGAGAATGTGGCTGTGATGATAGATTGGCTGCCAACAATGGCTGCAAGGGTTGCAATAACAAAAACGGGCCAGTATACTCTATCTGCATGGATAGCATAGACCAGCAGTTAGGATTGATTTGATTTCACCAATAATCCTGAGAACATTAAGCTTTAAAAAGAAAAGAACTAACCAGGTATTGAACTGTAGAAGTTATTTGGAAGGGAATCTATATTTTTGGACAGAAAAGCAGCTTGACCCATGTACTGTATCACCAAGCATGGATACACGACAAATGCAAATGTAATCTGTGCAGGACAAAAAAATTCAGACAGACATGGTGTAAGTTCAAGGAATCCCCAACCAGTTGACTAGTATGTTGAACAATATGATGCAGAAAAAATGACAACCATGGGCAATATAGACGCATTCCATGAAATAAGAACCTTTTGGCTGCATATGCTGTTTCCTATGACTTCGCTAAATATGAGTTTAAACTCTTACACTTAGAAGCTACATCCAGTGGATTTCAAACGCAATTCAGATGTGTTATCTGAATATCCTCTGTGATTAAGAAGAAAATGTTACCCTTGATCCTTGTAAAAACTGTTTGTTTCAAACTGCACTTTCAAATTTTAAAGTAGCAAATTGTTGTGGGGACGTACAATCTATTAAATGCAACCTACAACCCATTCTCACACCATTACTTCCCCATAAAACTAGTTCAAATCCTGGTATTCAGGACTTTCCAGGAAAATCATATATGGTGGCCTAAATAGAGAGTAACAGCATAAAGCTTCCACGAATCACAGCTTAATCTAGTCCAGCAGCAGAAAACAGTTTGACTTACCCTCATGGAGAAGGCAGAGAAATGACCAAGATCTGCATACATTGCTTCAGTACCTGATGATTGAAAATGATTAGAATCAGATCCAAATTCTAGTAGTAGATTTTTATCTCAGCCTCATTCTGCAACAAATGTCTGCACAAACTGCTTTGAATTCTCAAAGACTACTATGTCTTCTAGTATAAAGAATTACTGATTTAAGAGATAATACATTTCATATACCTGCAACAGAGAGAAGGACACCTCCGAGAGAAATCCAACCATCTTTTCCCGTCTCCCTGAAAAACTTGACGATATAATAGGGCGAAAGAGCAGCCACAACTTTAGGATTCCAAACGACAGTGTTGTACAACCCAATGACCATAATTGATATCAACCAGATGATCACTATTGGTGCAAACAAAAACCCAACCCTGTGGGTTCCAGAATGCTGTAAAGCGAACAGGCCAACCAATATAATGCAAGAAAGAAACAGCACTCCATCTACAATAAGAGATATTTTGATAGTCAAAGCCATTGCTGAAGTCACATATTGACTGATTGAAGTCATAAAAATTTAACAAAAGGGTAAATCAAGTCAAAGTTACCATGAGATAGGTGTTCTGCAGCAGCCTTTATTCCTGACATTGATGATATAACTGTCATAGTGAAAAGGTAATCCTAATTAAAAAATATTACTCAAATCGGCTTTGACATTACAGGACTTCAAGCATCTAATGGGCCACACCAACACTGACACCATATTCATAATTTGTTATCTATAATTGTCCCATTGAGCAAGAAACAAACTCATTGAGAAAAAATTATAGCTTGTAAATTATAGTTACACAAACTAATACCACATGAAATGATACTAGTAGTTACAATTATAATTTCTACCTGACATTGCAGGTGTCAGAACACCATCACCTATGACCATACACGCCCCCAATAATACGATAATAAGCAGTACTGTACGTGACTTTTTATGCTTCTCAAGAAATCTCTTCAACTGTAAACATGATGTAGACTGCCCAGAGTAGCCATATCTGTAAGCAGATAGCTCCTCATCAGCTGCTTGTTGGTTGGGGAGCAGACTAAACTTTGCATGTCTACAGAGCAGAGAGTAAAGAGCAAATGATCCACCTGGATGTATGTAAGTGTATTTGTTATAGACAATCAGTTATACGAGTTCTTCCGTAAGCATTGACTTAGAGTCTAGTCTATTTTTAACATACCTTCACCATTATCATCTGCACACAACACGATAAATACATATTTGAGCAAAGGAATGAGTGTTATTGTCCAGAAGATCAATGAAAATGAACCAAATATTGCTTCTGGAGTCTGATAATCTTGCAACTTCCCGTCAAATATACTCCTATAGACATAAAGTGGTGAAGTGCTCAAATCTCCATATACCACCCCAAGACTTTGGTATGCCAATACTAGATTCCTGGAAATATTCAGCAAAGGGAACTGCAAGGCAGAATATAAGACGCGAGCTAGTTACACAATCAGTAGTCAACTAGTCACACATATTTGAGTTAGTTAATGCTTCTCTCTCCGTCTCCGTATGTTCTTTCCTATTCATTGAC